CTCACATTCCTTCCAATGGACAAGCTGGCAAGGATTAATTTAACCCACCTCTTGGCAGCTCTGGATTTCCATTCAGTGGCCATCCTCAGCCAGTGAAGACTGGCTTCAAGAATTCTACAGAGAGGCAGCTGGAAAGTTTGTTATAAAGCTGTTCAGGAATCCAGGATGCTTGCAGTTTGGCTGCAAGCTGATCTGAGACTCAAGGAAGCAGACTCTGACTCCTCACGTCAGATGTTTCAAATCCCAGTTTCCCTATGAGGAAACATAACAACGTTGGGGGGGCAGTTTAGCGGGAAGATGAGTGGGGGGCATGGTAGAGGTTTGTGGGATTATGCATGGTGTAGAGAAAGTGAATAGGTAGCTTTTCTCCGTCCCTCAAAATACAAGAACTTAAGGACAACCAGTGGAGCTGAATGCTGGAAGAGTCAGGACTGATGAAGAGAAAATGCTTTCTCACGTGGTATACAGTTAAACTATGGAACTCACTCTCACAGGAATCATTGGTGGCCACCAGCTTGGATTGCTTTTGAAAAGGATTAGACAAATTCATGAAGGATAAGATTATAGATAATTACTGACTGACCACAATGACTATGTTCTAACTCCACTTTCAGAGGTAGTAGACCTCTGAAGATCAGTGGTTCCTTGAGTTCTAGAGAGAAGAAAAGTGTTCTTTCCACATTCTCCACACTATGCATAATTTTATGAACTTCTGTCATGTCCACCTTACTCAACTTGTTCTGAACTAAAAAGCTCCAAATGTTCCAAGCTTTCCTTATAAGGGGTTCGCTCGGTAGACAGTGTGGGTGCCTCAGATTGGCTGAGGACTTATAGGACTTTGGCCTTCTGCCCTTGCTTGGTCAACTGAACAGTGCCAATGGGAGAGCCAAGACCAGAGTCTTGGAGGGCCTGATGAGCCCTACAGTAGGTGTACTGAAGAACAGCATGATTGGTTTGGAAAGGACATGTTGTCCCAGAAGCACAGGCAGAACTGCAAGACCAAGGTTGAAGGTCTGCCTCAGCCGAGCTTTAGGCTGATGACTGTTATTCCTGGTTTAAATAGGAGGGCCATGGATGCACATCAAAGGAAGCAATGCCTCTGGTGAGTTCCATTTGTATCCACATTTACAGATCATTATAACTTGGCATAGTTCCATAGGAGTCAAACAGCCAAACTTTCAGCCTCTATAAATCAGCCAAACTACTCTGATTTATACCAGCTGAGGTCCACAGCATAGGTCATCTGCACTGAGAGGTGATTAGCCAACTGCTGACCCACCAGCTCTGTGCCTTTTGGCTCTGATTCCTTTCCTTGTTCGTTTTTTTCCCCTATTTGCACAGCAGCCATTAAATGACTAATTGTAGTGAACTTCTAACCACAGTGCCTCCTTGTGAATTGTGGATAGACAGCTGAAGAAGTGATGGGGGTGTGGAAATACTGCAAGCATTTCATTCTGGATCCATGTGGGCCCCATGGGTGAAAAAACTGGGACACCATTCCCCGCTTTTGCATGTTCTATCATATGCCTAAAAATCATCACAGGTCCTATTATAGGATCACAGAGCTAAAACAGAGAGAGAGAGTTACATGCAAACTACATTGCCACATTTACACATGGGTGGAAGTGAGGAAGGGAAGAGAACATTGGGATGTAGGAAGCTGTCTTATACAGTGTCAGGCCATTGGTCCCTCTAGCTCTTATTGTCTGCACTGACATGCAGCAGATCTCAAGAGTTTCAGATAGGACATTCCCAGTCCTACCTGGAGGTGTCAGGGATTGATTCACTTGGCCAGTGAACTTCAGCCCTGGAGAAATTACATGTTCTCCTTTAAAATAGTTCTGCAATACAAGATCAATGGCATTACATGGAGGAGGGATACAATTCAATAGTAAGAGATTAGATCCAAGGTCTAATCTCTAGCTATTTCAGTTAGATGTGAAAGAAAGCCTCTGCCTGAGATCCTGGATGGCCACTGCCTATCAAAGCAGACAACACTGAAGTAGTCAGCAAATAGTGTAACTCGGTGAAAGGCAGGGCCAGTCCAAGACAATTTGATGCTTGAGGTTGAGGAGAAGGTGGCAGTCCTGTTGACAGACAAAAGCCAGTTGGATTGGCAGTTGAACCTTGTTTTGACGCTGATGGGCTGGTTTTTAACTGACCAGATTTTGTCAGTTATGGTTAAGCTTTTAAGGATGTGAGAATTTAACAGCACGATCCTAACCATGGCTACATGGAAGTCCTATTGAATTCTATGGGCTCACTCAGGAGTAGAGGAGAAATTCAATTTTGTTTGCATTTTAATAGGAAACTACCAAATTCACACTTGTCGAACCAATTCATGAACTAGAATGGAGCCATCCTTCAGATTCACACTTCTCTGAATTTTGTGATGCAGTTCTACAACCAAACAATATGTACATAGATGCCTATATTAAGGGGGGGATATGCATAGAAATGCATGTATTAGTGAAAATAACATGTAAAAATGGATTATATTAGGGGAATTGATTTGTACAAATGTGTATATTAGTCAAATCTCCATACAAAAAAATGGGTTTATTAGAAGAAATTTGCAATAAAATGTTCATGAATTTTCATGAGGAGTTTATCATGAACTGAATTTAAGACTGGAAAGAAATGAGAAATGAAGAGAAATGATATTGAGAGATGAATCCATTCCTGCTTCCAGATAAGCAGGGTTAGGATTGCAGCCTTGGTCTATATTATTCTGAAATTGACAGATTTGTCCAGGTAAGGAGTGTTAAGGTGTGTTAGGTCTGTAGCATTGCTCTGTGTTTTCCAGTGAGCCGGATTGTGTTTTGTGTACACACATTTGCACATGTGTGAGAGTGAGAGAGACAAAGCAAGATGTTTTAAAATATAATTCTCAGGATTTGATAAGTGAGAAAATGGAATAACAAATATAGGCATACATACAAATAATTTTAAAAACTACTTGTATTCCTTAAGATGTATTTACATATTTTGCCCACAGTGCATTATGATATAGGTATTACAACTTTGCACAAATGATGGCAGTTCCCTCCTGACCCCTCCATTTTTTAAAAATTGTATCCTTCAAACAAAATCTTGAAATATTTATTGGGGTAGCCATATGGAGGAAACAGATTATGAGGGAGGATGAAGCTGTTCCTTTTAAAAGAGAGAATACAGGGAAACCACATTAAGAAGCACTTCACATTCTTCCTCCCCTTCCCCCCGCCTCCAACCCATCCCAATCTCCAACCCACAAGGGACAACTTCCTTTGATCATCTCAGATCCATATTGACATGTCCCAGGCCAACCTCCCCTCTCTAATCTTTCAGTGCTCTGCTTGTGGAGCACATAGCACTACATACATTCATTACTGTTCAGAACAAGGGATTGCACAGACCCTACTTGGAGACCACAAGTAGACTGGAGTTATTGGTTAGAGATCATTTACATGCCTCCTTGACTGCTTTGCCTTCCTCTAGAGGTGGCTCTGATTTGCCAGGAGAATTGAGTTGGAACTTCTCCATTGTTCTCTCCTTCCTTACACATGGCTGGGCCGAAGGGAGTAGAAGTAAGTGCAATGGTTTCACATATAGCTGTTTGGTGTGGGGGTTGTAATTCTTTTTTCTCTCTCAATCTGACCTTCTCTTCTTCTTCTTCTTCTTCCCCCTCCCCTTCTCATCTCCCATGTCAGGTGAAAGAACTTCTGGAAGAGACAGAGTGGCCCAGAGCACATGTCACGAGTCAAAACACAAAAGCCCTTAAAAGAAGTGAGTGAGGGGTACCGTTCTGCCATGGGAGATGGGCAAAATATATCCCTTGGCAAAATCACAGACACTTGTAAAGTCATGCAACTCCACAGCAGGGTGTTTATCTCTTCCCTGCTGCAAGGTGTCAGGGAATCGGTCTGCGTCGACATCTTGAGCTATCAAGTGGGGAATGGCATTGTTTGCTTCCAAATCAAGGAAGTTAAAAAGCAATGTGCAAGGCGTGTAAAGGCTTTGCCATCACTACAAGTGTGTGTTTGTAAGAGTTGTTCAAGAGCAGAGCCGGAAAGTCATGTCTCAATAGATGTCAACCGTTTTGACACTTCCAAAGGACAATTCAAGTTTCTGTTAACAGGGCTTTGACTGTGTTTCCAGAGAGACTGTCTTGCTCTGCTTGCCTTGAAAAGAGAACAGTCGTAGGTAAGTTGGAGCTGAATGCTTTTGTCCCCATACCTCAGCACTGTGATGCTCTAAAGGTTTTGTCGTCTACTAGTAATAATGATGATAATAATAATAATAGTAGTAGTAGTAATAATAATAACAATAATAATAATAATAATAATAGGATTAATATATCTTCCTTTCCCTTGAGGACCTGAGGACATAAGTCAAACAGCTTACTTCAGGCCACAGAGGAAGGAATGTCTAAATATTTGCACCTGGATCCAGAGCCCCATGTGTACTCCCCTGTGCATGAAGAGCTCCTGCAGGAATGAGCTACCCCATTCAGTGACTGGAGCAATTGTGTGCATGTTAAGGGATGTGTGAGAAGAGCTGTGCCCCCTCTCCACTGGTGTGAGGCTGCAGAATATCATATCCCAAGGGACAGCTCTCATGCACAATGCAGGGCAGTAATAGTGCTGAGTCCTTGCTTCTCACACAGTTCAGTATTGCAATCTTCTTCTCTCTCTTCTCCAATCTCTGCAACTGAGGAAAGGTCACAGGGCCAGATTCTAATAAACCTCAGCACAAATTAAATCTTGAATTAGGTACTTTGGTGTTGCATTATTGTATTATATTATTTTTTTTAATTGCTACCCCTCCCTTTAGGCAAGCTCTTACAAGGGATCTTGAAATAAAAATGCTAAAAGCAGGAGGGACAGACTGCAGCTTAGTGCCAGTGTGGGAAACCTGTAGTGTTCCGGGTATTGTTGGACTCCAACTCCCATGATTCTCAGCTAGGATGACCAATAGCAAGGCATGATGAGAGCTGTAGTCCAACAAACATCCAGAGAGCTACCTTTAGCTTAGTGGTAGAGCATCTGCTTTGCATGCAGAAGGTCCTGGGTTTAGTCCCCAGCATCTCCAGGTAGACTAGGAAAGACTCCCTGTCTGAAACCCTGTAGAACCACTGCCATCCAACGTACACAGTTCTGAACTAGATGGACCAGTGGTCTGACTTGATAAAATGCAGCTTCCTGTGGAATAATTAATGTGTAACAAAAACAGAACCAGACACATACAGATGCAATTTAACAAGTAAAAGCAAGGAGAATAAAAAGGCATAAGAGAGTTTGCTTCTCCCATATGAACCTACACAGGTTCTGAGATCTTCAGGGGAGATCCTTTTCTCAGTCCACATTCACAGGCATGCCTGGTGGTGACAAGGGAGAGGGCCTTCTTGGTGGCTGCTCCCTGGGTTTGGAACTCGCTTCTTAGAGAAGCTCTATTGGCTCCCTCCTTTTTGCCTTTCTGCCAGCAGGTGGAGACATTTTTATTCCAGCAGAGTTTGAGGAATTGACTTCTTGTAAGGAAAGGGCTCATAATGCTGTGCTGTATTATTACTACTACTATTATTATTATTATTATTATTATTATTATTATTATTATTATTATTTATTATTATTAGGAGCCCTGGTGGTAGTAGTAGTATCTGCAGTTCAGTAGTTCCTTTTTACATTATTTTAATTCCATATACAGTCTACTTTTTAACGACAACCTTTGATAGGTTTTGAGCTATATTTGTTTTATCAGTATTTAATTTTTATGAGCCACCTTGTTTGGGGGGAAAGGCAGGATGTAAATCATCCTCATCCTCACAAGAGAAAGGGCTGTATCAGAAATCTGGCCTTATGAACCATGGCTCATAGTTAGATCTGGCATATTTATGCTGCAAATGTGTCAACTGAGGCATCCTGTAAGATTGTCACTGTGCTTGTTTTCTAACTCATGAAAATGGGCAGACAGATGGCTTAAAATGAAAGTCCATTAAGGCCAACCAAGGGGTATGTAACAACTAGGCACCATTCCAAAAACTAGCCTTGGTGGCTTGGCATTTGGTGACACACACCAGAGTCACATTGTTTGCATTCCTACCATTCTAACTTATCAACACGTCTCATCAACATCCTCCAAAAGCCCAACAGTTTACAACTGATTTGGCTGGTGCACTGAATAACAAACTCTCAAAGTATCTGTGGCTGATCCTTCATAATGACATGAGTCCTGTTCAGAGAACTGGTTGAGTAACTGAATTTGTGGAGTTGAGTGCAATCCCCCACACCACAGGTCCACCTACACAAAACCCCTTAACTGTAATTGATCTCTGATTTGCATCATATGTCCTGCATGCAGAACTTTGTCCTTTTTTGCTACAGCCAGTCATGGAAGCATGGAATTCTGGAGTCCTAGCACTGCCTTTTTATCTGCAATTCTTAAAACTGGTTTGGTGCTAGATATTTGACTTTTTCATATATATTTTTCATATATATTTACATGGCATCTCCTCTAGTCCCTACAGAGACTAAACCCTCTATTTTTATTTTTATTTTTAAGGGGAATTCAGAGTGCTGACCTTTAAAGCCCTAAACTGCTTCAATCCTGTATACCTAAATTAGTGTCTTCACTACCCAGACACTGAGATCTAATTCTGAGGTCTTTCTGGCAGTTCCCTCATGGTGAGAAGTGAGGTTACAGGGAACCAGGGAGAGGGCCTTCTCAGTAGCCGTACCCGCCCTGTGGAATGTCATTCCATCAGAGGTCAAGGAAATAAAAAACTATTTTACTTTTAGAAGACATCTGAAGGCAGCCCTGTATAGGGAAGTTTGTAATGTGTGATGTTTTACTGTGGTTTTATAAATTGTTGGAAGCTGCCCAGAGTGGCTGGGGCAACCCAGTAAGATGGGCAACATATTAATTATTGTTGTTGTTGTTGTTGTTGTCATGGCTGTAGTTAGGGTCATCGCTCAGCAGCAGGGCATCTGCTTGCATGCAGAAAGACTCAGGTTCAGTCACCAGAATCTCCAAGTAGGGTTGTGGAAGAACACTGCTTGAAACCCTGGAGAACTGCTTCTAGTCATTGCTGACAATACTTTGCTAGACAGACCAATGGCTCAGTATAAGGCAACTCCCTATGTTCCAAGGTAAACTAGATAGTTAACCATGCTGGAAATGGTGTTGGTTAACCAGTAGGGGGAGACTTCAGACAGTTCAGGATGCATAAGCTGAAGTTACATCAAATGGATTTATCCTGTTTCAAATAAAACACTGCTTACATTATTAGCTAGTTGCTAAAAGTTGAAAGGTATTCTTAAACAATGTTGTGGTGTGGTAGCTCATTACTCTGCATTCACTGTTCTTGCTGCAGCTCCCCAGCATTCTTCAACAGTCATTCCAATGATGGGCTATTATGCTCCTCTTTGCAGTATGGGTTGCGGTCAGCTGACCTATAAAAATGCAAGGGACTTACAGAAGCATCATGTTGCATGAGGCCAGTGGGCAGGCAGGACTGATAAAAAGGGCTATGAAAGCTTTCTAGGGCTAGGACAAAGTTCAGTTGCCGGTTGTGGGATATGACTTGAAACCCTAATCAGGTGATACAGCAGGGATGGAGACCGTGTGGCCCTCCAGATGTTGTTGCACTTACAAGTCACATCAGACCCATCCAGTATGTGAAACAGTCAGGGAGGGTGGGAGTTGTATTCCAGCAACACCTGGAGAGGCACGCCTTCCCCATACAACCATGCAGCCTCAAATGTATGTTGGTACAAGTGTGAGAGATAATGTGGTGGTGAAAACTTGTCTTGCTGTTCTTTTTTAAAGGTAAAGGGACCCCTGACCATTAGGTCCAGTCGTGACCGACTCTGGGGTTGCGGCGCTCATCTCACTTTATTGGCCTAGGGAGCTGGCGTTTGTCCTCAGACAGCTTCCGGGTTATGTGTCCAGCATGATTAAGCCACTTCTGGTGAACCAGAGCAGTGCACGGAAACGCCGTTTACCTTCCCGCCGGAGCGGTACCTATTTATCTACTTGCACTTCAACGTGCTTTTGAACTGCTAGGTTGGCAGGAGCAGGGACCAAGCAACGGAGCTCACCCCGTTGCAGGGATTCGAACTGCCGACCTTCTGATCGGCAAGTCCTAGGCTCTATGGTTTAACCCACAGTGCCACCCACGTCCATCCATCAATTAATGAGAAAAGGAATGCATCCAAAAGTTATCAATGGGGAGAAAAAAGTGGAGATGTTCTCACAGATGGGACGCAGAGTTTTGTTGTGCTTACCTTCTGACCGAGGTGACCATAAAGTGTTTGTGAAGGGTCTTTTCCTTCACTCTGCAAAGCATCTCTCTGGTGATCTGAACTCTAGTGCCTTGCAGGGTATCTCCCTTTTCAGAAAACACAATGCTATCCTTGGCTCGGCTTTTCTCTAAGCACAGGAAGCTGGGGAGACTGTCTACTGTGCACCTGACAGCAGTTTGTCATTTTGCTTGATAGTCTCCCATGCCTCAGAAGCAAAGCTCATATCCATCAGGAGCTGTGCATTGAGTATTGTGGGCCCAATTTCAGCTGATGTCAGATCAGCAGCCCCTCCCTGTTGAACTTCCAGAATCTACTAATACCATTTTTTTCATTATTCCAGAAGGAATTTTAACTTAATTCTGATTTTATAGTTGACCTGTATTTGCATTTTACTGACCTTCACAAACAGCACATAGAGATCAATGTAATTAAGTGTTATATACATTGCCAAAATAAAGAAAGAAAGAAATTTTGAAAACTTTTTAAAAAAACTTTTAAAAGAAATCAATGTGGGAATCTTTTTTATTTTATGTTTTAAGAAGTGTAATAGGAAGGACTTTTCTTCATACAAAATCAGCAAACCCATCTTAATCTTAGGCAATGGATAAGTAGTCTTCCGGACTTCCTGTGCTTTGGTTAAAGTTCAAGGGAAGATCAGATCAGATCAGGAAATTTCATCCCTTGTTGAAAATACATACATACCAACTCCATTTTTCCTGTTCCTGATCATCCCATGTTCAATTAGGAAGGTTTGGGTGGTGGAGCTATTTATCTGTGTTTGCTTCATAAAACAAGGTTCCTAACCATGCAGAGGCTTCTACTTGCATTCCTGAAATCGTAGAAATTACCCCATTCAATGAAGGAAGGTAGGAAGGCACCATATATATGGCTTGATACTTCCTTTTCAGGCACGACATATGAAGAGGGCTACAGTCTCCTTACAAGGCAGATCTCAATGCAATGGTCAAAAAGGTTTCACTCTGTTCAGTGGAAATCTTCCAGGTATTTTCACATACACACAAATTCACTGATGTTACAGGATTTCTAGACAAGCTGTATTGAGCATTCATCCCTGATTTCTTCACACAAAGTTTGTGAGGAGGATAGACAATATCAGCTATTTTTACGAGTGATTCCCTTCCGATTTGTTTGCAGAATGGTTGTATAACATTGCGATACACCAGGTATAGGGAACCTTTGGCCCTTCAGAAATTGCTGAACTACAACTCCCATCATCCCTGGACATTGGCCATGCTTGCCAGGGCTGATGGGGAGCTGTAATTCAGTGACATATGGCAAGCCAGAGGTTCCCTACACCTGTGGGGAACGGGCTAAAAGTGTTGGATGAGCTGTAAGATTGGGGTGAGGAAAATGTGGTCTGCCATATGCTGTTGGACTACAACTCCCATCAGTCCCAGCCAGTTTTGTCAATGGACAGGGATGATGGGAGTTGTAGTCCAGCCACACCTGGAGGGCCATGTTTTTGCCATCCCTGCTCTATGCTCTTAGTTCAAGTGGGCTGATAGCCAGACCTTTCAGATATGACATATAAATTTATATGGAATGTTCCTTGAGGATAGGAGCCTTGCAAAACACTGTGTTAAATAGATACAATACTAGCTTATCTCAACGGGATTCTTAGAGGATCAATTAACTTTGACATCTTATTCAACATGTGAAACTGTTTCTTATCTCTCATTAACATGGCTTCATTTGTGACTAGCAAGTCTTCCAGCTTTGGCCAAGAACCCAGATATTAGCAGTCTTCCATCATTGTTGCCTCAAAGGATA